TGAGTGCAGTCGAGGAAAGCACACCTCAGACTGACTCTAGGGCACAGATTGTAGAGGTTCAACCTCCCAATTTAGAAGTGCGCACCCCTTCTCCCAAAAGTTTAGAAGCTAGGGATAAGGATGAAAACCACCTCAAAAAAGACAGACAGTACCTCAAACCTACTAACCCAAAAGGGATACTAGGGAAACAGAAGAACTTTTCTAACAGGACCGTAGCTACATTGCCGGGACCCTTAGTTTCCAGTCTTAAGCCAACAAGGAAAAGATGGGACAAGAAAAAGAAATCTTCACAAGGGACCAGACCTACAATGCTGGGACCCCTTATTTCCATTAGCTCAGACGAGCAAAATGAAAAAATTCCTCCCGACCAGAAACTGAATCGTGGAAGGAAAAAGAGTGCCGTGGGTACCGTTAACAGTCACGAGCGTGACAGCAGAATCAGGGAAGCCACACCTGATTTCTTCAACCCTTCAAGTTCTTCAAAGAAAGTCGAAGGGGATCCGCACATTCCGAAAAGGAATAGTAGTAGGAAAACGAGAACCCCAAGCACAGGTGACAGTAGTCACAAGAATGAGGACTGCCTTGACTATAGACCCAGCGGTTTGACTGGCACACCAGCCACTAGTGAGAGCGAGGGCAAGACCTTATGCGACTCTCATATATCCTTCTGTTCGGCTGAACAAGAAGAAGAAATTCAGGCTGAGACAGAGAATGACAGGGCACCTGCTTCTCTTATCCTCTTCAGTGCGACTGCACATGAAGAGAGAGTTAATCTCAGTTCTGACTCCAACCCCCAAAAGGTTGACGACACAGGCAGTAACACGCCACTTCATTTATCTTCACTGGACTTGGCATCAGAAAGCCCGAAAAGGAAGAAAGTGAATACTCGAGAGGAGAAACCTCCCGATATCTCAGAGTGCCTACAAGAGGAAACTCTGAAAGTACAGGATATTCCTGTAAACTCTAATGTGGATAGCGACACTGGACAACCCAGGATGTCTGCCAACACTAGAGAAGAAGCAACTTTTGTGGAACAGTGGGTGGAGACTTTAAAAAGAAGTAATGCCACCTTATCACGTTTGAAGACCCAAAAGTGTTTGAATGATCTGATCAGTTTATCCACTGGCCAGACACTTGTACGCAGTGACTCCGACTGTGACACAATCTTTGAAGAATGTGACCGACTAGGCGGCTGTCTGGGTAAGGAGAGAAGGCGGCAAGGAAGGACAGATCTTTTGCGCTACCGAGAACACGGCAGTGGCAAGTTCTGGGTACATCCTGGGATAATGATGTACAACAATACCCCTGATATAAAGAGGAGATTGAAAGAATTCAGCAGGATTGGAGCACGACGGCGGAAAAAAGCGGTGACCAAACTGACTGTGACTCATCCGTTTAGGAAATCCCTTCAGGCGCTTCCATTACAGATTGGGAGGAGCCGAGTGACAGCAAACTTATATCAGCACCGCGGAGAAGACGGGTTGATTAAAAATGGAGTTCCCGGATTGTGGAGAAAGAAGGAACCTCCAGATAAAAGGACATTACTGAGCTTCTGCTTAGAATGCCTACATGATTCTAGGACTAAGGACTTAGCCTGGAAGAATGGACATATGGTGACTGTACAACGATGCAGGACATCTAGATTCCACGAGGAATACTGGCGAAGGAAACATTGGGACAGAAAGGAGCTGAGAAGTGAAATAAACTTCTTGGAAATCACTGAGTGTCTAAACATTGGCCATAGCGAGCTACGACCAAAATCAACCGTGGGCCTATGTGACGAAATGACCTCAGTGGTCTCAGAAGTTATATTGAGTTTAATAATTTCTTATGTTCAGAGAAGGACAAAGAATTAAAAGCAATAGACACTGAGCCTAAAATAGTTCTAAAACCACTACAAGGGATTTGAGAATTGTTTAAACTGTGTTTTCCAGTCTTAGCCAGACAAAGCAACCTTGCTTTGTGTAATGTTACCTAATACTACTGTAGTTAGAGATTTCACCTGCCCATGTCATATAATTATCTCCTGCCCAGTCTGTAGAGGCAAGTAAAGGGGGAGATAACTTCATATCACACCTGATTAGCTCCCCTGAAACCCGACTTTAGTGTCATAAAAAGTTACATAACACAGACTGAGGGGCTCCTTTTGAACAGGATAGATCAGGGGAATTAAGTGGTCAGGTAGACATTTCTAGACAGGCCGGCGTCCAGCGTCTGAAAGTTTCACACATGATAGTGAAATTCTCAAGAGAACAGATGTTTGGCAATTAGGAATGTTTAATCTTGGTCAAGGTCGTACTGTAGGCTGTTCACTGTGAGTGACAGGCCCCTTGATAGCTAGGTTGATCTAATACGTACCTCGTAGGCGGGACTTAAGTCATCTCCTTTAGGGTAGGGTATAACCTAGTAGAGGGTGGAGTTAACCTTGCAGACAGATAGGGGTATTAATAAGATAGCCCTGGAATTTCTGTCAGAATCGCTGCCACGAGCAAACAAACAGGTCGACCTTAGAGGTAATTCTAATGGTTTGATTCTAGTTGGCGATAGCTGGAAGTTTCCAGGTAAGCCTGTACAATTATTTTCAATCTTGTATACATAGGTTAGGGAGTTAGCTAAAATCTATTCTACCTTTTCCTAATTTGTCTACACATTCTGCTTGAAATAGTTCGTTGTGAGTATTCAGTATCTCAGTTAGGGAACTGCTAAACTATTTCTATTTCTTGTATGTTTGTGGCACATGTTTTTCAGTGTATGTTTTCATGTTTATAAAATAAGACTTGTATACTAAAATGTAATGAAATTATAATGTTTCAACCATCAACCAAAACATGAGTTTGGACTGTGGGAAATGATGCCCACATATGCAGCCATGCTGTTACATTTTGTGTGCCCACCATGTGCTCACCTAATGTGTTCACCTAAACAGGGGATTTATAACCCCAGGGGAAGAATCATGAGTGTATATTATTCACTGTCACTGAAAGATAATATTCAGGACAGCATGCTCGTATAAAATGTTTGGCGTGTTCAGCACATAACCTGCGCCACATGTTTATGTCAAATCAATGTCAGCAAGTTGGAAGTCTGAGTGATGACGGACAACAGAAAATCAACTATCATGACAGAACCTTAGAGGGAAGGCAGGATATGTGAGACGTCTATTGTGAGACACAAAGACCTTCAGAATAGACTGGAGAGAATGTGGAAAATGAGGAGTGATGAGATATAATGTATTATTGTATATTGTATTAATTGACACATGTATTCTTAGTGTAAGTCAAGATACTACACGTATGTGTTTGTTTCCATTATTACAGCTCCCATGTGGGTGAGGATCAGTCGTTTCTAAAAACAGAAATAGAGGGTCATCACGGTCACGAGACTACATTGTGCTAGAACTCGGCCAGCTGGGAAACAGGTGGGAACCAGGGAACCAGGTGGAAGGACCAGGAGAACTGGACGGAAAGATTGGAACAGCTAAGAAGGGACTCAACACGAGGACTCTCAGAGGTTCCACTTTCTAAAGTTATGTGACATGTATTTATGTAACACCACCATTATCATTCAGTCGAATCTTAGGTGCTCAGTTATCTAGCTGAAGCATCTCATTACCACCATACCATCACTATCTATTATAACAACAATGATGACTAATGTCATACTCTGATTGCTAGGTTAATAAATCAAATATATGGTCTTATCCTGCATCAGTTTTTTGTAATTCCAAATGTGTCTGTTTTTACACGTTTAACTAAACTGTTAAGATAGAATACCATTTGGTGGGGGCTCATTAAATAATAATACAATTTCTTTACCAAGAGAAGGTCGACGGATTGGGTCAACTGCCCTGTCTAGTGAATCATTCAAGATAATAATATATAGACATCTAAAACCCATTTCTTTCTCTTGTGGGTACCAAGTTCAGCTAAAGTTAATATAAATAACGAGCCAATATGGCTGTTTTCTTGGATATCCAGGACTTTGTCTGAGAGCAACATAGCCCGGATAATAGTTCAGTTAATCTGGTGGAGGGGATGTGTTGAGAGGAAAACCCCTACTCAACATATAAATTATTTAAACCCAAATCCAGAGAACCTACGACCCGGGACGTCACACTAAAAGTGTTGTACTTTCCAAGGGAGTGGGCCGGAACGTCACACTAAGAAGGAGGAGGATGATGACTGCACTAAACAAGTGTCCTTAAACACTCAGGCTAAGAAGGAGGAGGATGATGATGACTGCACTAAACAAGTGTCCTTAAACACTCAGGCTAAGAAAGAGGAGGATGATGATGACTGCACTAAACAAGTGTCCTTAAACACTCAGGCTAATAAAGAGGAGGATGATGATGATTGCACTAAACAAGTGTCCTTAAACACTCAGGCTAAGAAGGAGAATGATGATGACTGCACTAAACAAGCGTCCTTAAACACTCAGGCTAAGAAGGAGGAGGATGATGACTGCACTAAACAAGTGTCCTTAAACACTCAGGCTAAGAAAGAGGAGGATGATGATGATTGCACTAAACAAGTGTCCTTAAACACTCAGGCTAAGAAAGAGGAGGATGATCAATGTACTAAACAAGTGTCCTTAAACACTCAGGCTAAGAAGGAGGAGGATGATCAATGTACTAAACAAGTCTTTAGAAACAAGAAGAAAACTGGTGATTGCACTAATTAAGTGTCCTAAAACACTCAGGCTTAGAAGAAGATGGTGACTACACTAGCCAACCACTCTTGAACCTTCAGGCTAAGAAGAAGAACAAGAGGCAAGGCTGGCTGAATGGTTAGAGTGTTGGGCTTTCTTGCAGTTGTAGACCTGGATTTTTTCCATCAGGGAACAAAACTAAAATTCCTTAACTGCTCAGTTCATGACCACCCCCCCCCCCCCCTCCCCCAAAATCCCTGTCTACACAGCCCTCACAAAATGGTAAATAAAAGCAGTAACGACAAGACAAAAACTGAACAAGCTAACAGTAGCACTTTATTTGTCTTTTTTACCTTTTTCGTTCTTCTCTGAAATTTCTTTGTGACTTATTTTTTCTTGCTGAGATTGACAACCGCCTTGAACAGCTTGAAGTTGTAAGTGTACTCCACTGTTCTTGTTATCTCTGATTCCTTGTGATATGCCTTCCATTTCTGCTACAGTCTTTGAAGAAGTAAACAGAGTGTATTGAATTATAATTACCCCTTCACGTTCAATCCCAGGGGCAAGTGATTAAATTACACACCTCCTTGAGTTGGTTTCAACAGTGGAGTGGTACTGAGAGCAAACAGATCAAAAAGCAATGGCAAACTACTGACCATAAATTTGCGCAGAAAAACTACAACAGCCAAAAATACTGGGATTGGTTCTGCAATGTCCTGTAAAGGGCACGCAACTAACAACTCCTTCAAGTTTGATATATATATTAGCCGTTGGAAATCGAAAACAGTAGCCTAACGCCGCTGCCTGGGCAAAAATTTGGAGTTAAAAATCTATCAAAGTATTTCAGGATCCTTGTCGCAGCTTCAGAGCCTGTGCATTGTGCTGAGCTTTTTCGGACTTGAGTTACAAGAAGAACGAAGCACTTAGGTTTTACGACCCATGTGCCATGATGTTGATCCGTTGTTTAAACTTCAAACTTCAACTTTCTTCAAATGGTAGATAATAGGTAGGACAAATTATACACTCATGGCTTGCACTATTGTGTTTGTTAATAGTATTATCATCTTAGTAGAAATGTTCTTCAGTATCTATTGTGTATTTTAGTCCTTGTATTGCAAACACAGGGCCCATCTTCTCCTACACTGTCTTTGTTTGAGACTGTTCACACTGGAACTATTTTCAGAACTATTTTCATATGACCTAAAGTAATGAAAAAAAGCTGTTCATCCAGAGTTCACTGCATGTCGAGAAGCCTGGCCATCTCTCTGGCAAACCTCTACACTGCAAAGTAGAAGAGGATCTACTAAATAAAGTTATCTACATTCTTCAGAAAAATGTGTGTTCAGGAACAAAAAATAGAGCTTTTAACAGAGGGTACCAGGTACAGTGTCTGTCTCTAACTTGAGAGGTACCAGGTACAGTGTCTGTCTCTAACTTGAGAGGTACCAAGTACAGTGTCTATTTCTAGCTTGAGATGTACCAGGTACAGTGTCTATCTCTAACTTGAGAGGTAACAAGTACAGTGTCTATCTCTAATGTGAAATGTACCAGGTACAGTGTCTATCTCTAACTTGAGAGGTACCAGGTACAGTGTCTATCTCTAATGTGAGAGGTACCAGGTACAGTGTCTATCTCTAATGTGAGAGGTACCAGGTACAGTGTCTATCTCTAATGTGAGAGGTACCAGGTACAGTGTCTATCTCTAATGTGAGAGGTACCAGGTACAGTGTCTATCTCTAATGTGAGAGGTACCAGGTACAGTGTCTATCTCTAATGTGAGAGGTACCAGGTACAGTGTCTATCTCTAATGTGAGAGGTACCAGGTACAGTGTCTATCTCTAATGTGAGAGGTACCAGGTACAGTGTCTATCTCTAATGTGAGAGGTACCAGGTACAGTGTCTATCTCTAACTTGAGAGGTACCAGGTACAGTGTCTATCTCTAATGTGAGAGATACCAGATAAAGTGTCTATCTCTAATATGAGAGGTACCAGGTACAGTGTCTATCTCTAACTTGAGAGGTACTAGGTACAGTGTCTATCTCTAACTTGAGAGGTACCAGGTACAGTGTCTATCTCTAACTTGAAAGGTACCAGGTACAGTGTTTATCTCTAACTTAAGAGGTACCAGGTACAGTATCTATCTCTAGTTCGAGATATACCAGGTACAGTGTCTATCTCTAACTTGAGAGGTACCAGGTACAGTTTCTATCTCTAATGTGAGAGGTACCAGTACCAGGTACAGTGTCTATCTCTAATGTCAGAGATACCAGTACCAGGTACAGTGTCTATCTCTAATGTGAGAGGTACCAGTACCAGGTACAGTGTCTATATCTAATATGAGAGGTACCAGTACCAGGTACAGTGTCTATCTCTAACTTGGGGGGTACCAGAAAAATTTTATGACTCTAATAGTATCTTTAGGCATAATTCTTTTCTGTAACATTACCCCTGCTTCAGCTTTCCCATTATTCAAGCTGTGGCTCAATATTTCCCTTTCTTCAACCCTTGTATCTATCAAACATTTTCTTTTTCTTCTTCTTTTCTCTACTCCTGCAATTCCTCACGGTATCAGGGCAGGGAGAGATTCAAGGAACGGGCCCTTCTGTTTGCTTTATATAAAGTACCATTCAGTATCTCTGATATTTCTGCAGTCCATCTTCTGCGAGATGACCTCTGGATCTGTTACCCCTGTTTTGTTTAACATTGCTCTCTGTGGTGCCCTGTCTAATGCCAATCTTGTTACATGGCCAAACCATTTGATTTGTTGTCTACTTAGTACATTTGTACTATCATAATTTGAACAATAAAACTTCTTCACAGTTTACAACACCAAGGACTCACAGTACATGACTCCCAGGCAATGTGAACTATGTTTTCCCGAAGTGAAAACAGTTGCTGCAAAGCTCTGTCGCATCTATTTTTCTGAATACTTTCAAACTTCTGTAAGGTCATGGTCACAACTGGTTCCAGCTCTAGAAGGGAGATAACGCTGCTTGTGTCTCCTTCTTTGATAACATTCCTTGCATTTTCACACAAACTTTGTACATGTATCAAACAGCCTTGGAGAACTTCATTCAGCATGAAAAGAGATCTATACAGTTTTCCTCTGCAAACAAAAGAGAAAACAACATGTGTGCAATTCCTAGAACATTTTTCAAACTATAAATTACAGCTTAACAAATAATCATAGGCTAAAAGTTTTTTTCGGCTGAAATACCTAATCATAATACCCTCACAACCATTGCATTTTTTTTTTCAACATTAATGAGGTGCAATCAAATGAAACATCTTGATAGCTCTATTACAAACATCTTACAAGTATGTATATTAGCAGGTGTGACAGATATAAATAAAGCAAACACATGATTGTGGTTATGAGGAGAAGTCACCACTTGAGGAGATATCAAAGAAGAGCTTTGAGTGAGATTGTCCAGAGATAAAATGCTGAATAAAATACGGAACTAATTTTTATGGCTTTTTTACAGGTGTTAAAGACATCAGTCTGATTTTTTCTGTTTCACATACAATTTGAATCTGAAACAATACTCTCCTATGGAGTTCTGATTTTTTTTTTCTTTTTCAGTACTTTAATCTCCTCTCTTTTCTTGTTGTACTTATCCTCTATCAGTCTTTTAACTCTTTCAGGTCCATGAATTTTGACAGACTTGGCCCACATTAATTTCCCTTTACAAAAATGGCAGAGGGGTGGGTGTACAAGAAAGGCTGTAGAGATTGTAATATACTTCTAATCCCTATAAAAGTATATATTTTTTAAAAGAGAAATGAATGTACTTTTTGAATCTGATGATAAGTGTTTGTTTGATTTCGTTATTGTTAGTGGAAAAGAAGAATTCAACAGGTGTTAATTTCACAAGGACAACATTTCACAAAAAAATTCTTCACTTACCATGGTTTTGCAGCCACAAGAATAGTAAATATCCAAATTTGAGAACAAAACTTCAAAGTTTGTTCAATTTCCTAACATATTCTAAAGTTATGATAACTTTCTGGGTTAGTTTATCACTCAGGGGCTCTTAGTTCCCACCGAGTGCTAAGGAAAATTTCAGAGAAAAAATGGCAGAAAAATGAGCATTACACACACACTATTTACTATTCACTTTGTACAGTTATTTACAGACTGTAGCTGCAATGATTTCAATGTAGCTTAGCCCTATTATAGCTTTGTTTAGAGCACTTTCCTTCTTTTACACCATAAATACGGTAGTATGGGACATTGTCTGTGTAATAAACTTGTCAGAATCGCTAGATTCCGAACAGCTGATCGCTCAGCTTCACTGGTGAAAATTCACTGTCCGAATCACTTTCCGAAAAATCTAAATTTTAATTATCATTATCACAATTAAAAACATCTTACTGAAACAATTTCAGAGCTTCGGCCGCAGAAAGACGCATTCTGGGACCTGTTCTTGTGGTTAGAACATTGGTATTCAGTGCTCTCAAAAACGAACTCAGAAAATGAACTGTTAATAAAAATTTGATGTTTTTTTCTCTCAAATTATCCACGTGTGGTTTAGTCCAAGAAATGAAACTAAAAGGATTTCGGCAGAGTGATTTTCCCTGAATAGGTTATTCGTACCTCCAAACATTAAAAACGAGTACGAACGCGCGTGCGAAGCAAAATGTAAGAGATACACAATTGACGATGACACCGTTGTTTGGGCAGAACGGAACTTCTCAAACTACGCTCACACCGTTGTTTGGGCCTTAAAGAGGTAATGACAAGTTGACAGTAAAACAAAATACAGTTTAATATAATCTTCATTACAGATGCTAATGGTAACTTACTGAGCTCCTTTGTTTCTCTGTCTATGAATTATGTGTTTCCATTGTTTAAAAGTTTTCCACAATCTGTTAATTTAAAAAAAAAAAATTTAAATTGCTGCAGCAAATTAAACTTCGAAATAAAATGTTTAAATTAAAGTAAAGAAAAAAAGTAAAGATCCCTTTTCACGCCTTTCGGCGCATCGGGCATATGGGCAGAGCATATTTTTACAGACCATCAGCACTCTGTGGGTAATGTGGTCAGCATTACGCCGGCTGTCTTTACTTTCCCAGGACAGCCCATCCTGGTACCAATTTTAGGTTGGGTCGACCTGCGACGTCCCATACCACGACAAAAATCCACGCAGCCTGCAGTGGGTTTCGATCGCGGTTTGCTGGCTAACGAGTCGGACTCGCAACGCGTTAGCCACGGACGCCGCAATGTTTAAATTATGTGGCTATAAAACAATATTTATCACACATGTTCAATGTGTACACATGGGCATGGTGGTGTTTAGTTAAACAATTCTGTACAAACAAATTAGTCAATGAAGAACCAGGAAAGATGCTCTCAGGATGAAATCTTAGACACATTTTGGGGTGAAACAGTAAAAGTCTGCAACAGCATGTGCTTTGAATCCAGTAGTTCATGGGCTGCTAGCAGTGGACAGGAAGACAGACCGAGAAGTCTGCAACAGCATGTGCTTTGAATCCAGTAGTTCATGGGCTGCTAGCAGTGGACAGGAAGACAGACCGAGAAGTCTGCAACAGCATGTGCTTTCAATCCAGTAGTTCATGGGCTGCTAGCAGTGGACAGGAAGACAGACAGAGAAGTCTGCAACAGCATGTGCTTTCAATCCAGTAGTTCATGGGCTGCTAGCAGTGGGCAGGAAGACAGACCGAGAAGTCTGCAACAGCATGTGCTTTCAATCCAGTAGTCCATGGGCTGCTAGCAGTGGGCAGGAAGACAGACAAAAAAGTCTGCAACAGCATGTGCTTTGAATCCAGTAGTCCATGGGCTGCTAGCAGTGGACAGGAAGACAGACCGAGAAGTCTGCAACAGCATGTGCTTTGAATCCAGTAGTTCATGGGCTGTTAGCAGTGGACAGGAAGATAGACCAAGAAGTCTGCAACAGCATGTGCTTTCAGTCCAGTAGTCCATGGGCTGCTAGCAGTGGACAGGAAGACAGACAGAGAAGTGTGCAACAGCATGTGCTTTGAATCCAGTAGTTCATGGGCTGCTAACAGTGGACAGGAAGACAGACAGAGAAGTCTGCAACACCATGTGCTTTGAATCCAGTAGTTCATGGGCTGCTAGCAGTGGACAGAAAGACAGACAGAGAAGTCTGCAACAGCATGTGCTTCGAATCCAGTAGTTCATGGGCTGCTAGCAGTGGACAGGAAGACAGACAGAGAAGTCTGCAACAGCATGTGCTTTGAATCCAGTAGTCCATGGGCTGCTAGCAGTGGGCAGGAAGACAGACCGAGAAGTCTGCAACAGCATGTGCTCTGAACCCAGTAGTTCATGGCTGCTAGCAGTGGACAGGAAGACAGAGAGAGAAGTCTGCAACAGCATGTGCTTTGAATCCAGTAGTTCCCCGTGTGGGTTCTGGGGCTCTATTATTCAGAAAACAAGAATAGACCCACTGCCTACCCAAAAGCATGACTAAGAGTCGACGAATTGGGAGCTTCTTTCGAAGTCAGAGTGCATCTGCCTGAGAGGCAAGGAACCAGCAGTCTGCATACAAATGAGTCAGATCTGTTAAATGGATGCACATGCAACACTCAGGTTCTGGATCAGGACTGCTGTCCAAAAGTGGATGAACAACCAGAACTTTCCACCAGAGTTTACAGCTGGTGAACACAAAGAAGAAGAATCCAGTAGTTCAGGGCTGCTAGCAGTGGACATGAAGACAGACCGAGAAGTCTGCAACAGCATGTGCTTTCAATCCAGTAGTTGATGGGCTGCTTGCAGTGGGCAGGAAGACAGAGAACAGCTCATGTCCACATAATCATTTTTCACTTCACTCTCTAATTGCCTTCTACTTGTGTGTTTTGGTCTGCCTGTACTTCTCTAATACTGTGGACATTGTATTGGCCTTAAGGGATAGCAAAAGATAGGATGAACTGGTGTGAGCTGCTAGCATGTCAATACCCCACTGGGGAATAAAGGGCTAAAGAGAAGAAGTTTACGGGTATTTTTTTAATTGTATAATAACATTTAATGTTAAAATAATGGTTTTGTCCCTGTGACAATACACACATCTTTGTTTTCAATACAACACCTGTACTAGTAGGAACTGATACAACTTCAAGAAGATGGACTTACAATTGTAAAAAAATGTGCATTTATATGGATTGGCAATAACCAGTGACACAAATCAAGTACAGAGTGAATCAATCAATAGGTACTTTACAAAATGCTGCTCTTGTAACAGCACGCCTGAAAGTCTCTTTCTCCAGCCATATATAGTTCAAAGACAATGCATCTATCAACACCCGCCAACACAGGCAGCAGCAGCAGCAACCGGGAGCCCTCAGGCCAGAAATTCTACAATGCTCACGCTGTAACAAGGCGTGGCATACCGCCGCGACTTGCCGCAGCAGCCTAGCATGCCGATACTGTTCAAAGGCGCATGATTTTAAGGAGTGCCCTCTGGCCAAGGAGGACCCTGATTTCAAGGAACTAAACCCAAGAAGACGATGCTCAAACTGTGCAGGGGCCCACAGCGCGAGGTACCTGGGATGTCCGTACCTCAAAGAGATAAAGATGGCTTTATGAACTGACGGATCCAGACACCAGCAGAGGTACGAGGCATCCAGACCGAGCAACACAAAATGCCGACCCGCCCGCCCAGCCAAAAGCAGAACGCCAGAAAAGGAGGCTACCACCAGTGACCCTGAACATGCACGTGTAATCACGGAACTAAAGACAGAGCTGCAGAAACAGAAAAGCATTGCCGCCGCTGAAAAGGCAGAAACGCACGAATTAATCTCCCTGTTGCTAGGAGAAATTAAAACCCTGAAAGACGACAGGATAGCGTCCACTGCACAGCTAAGTGAAAGCCAGAAAGAAGCCACAGCAACCAAAGATAGTGTCAGCACTCTAATTGCAAGTCTGGTAGAGGCCCAGATAGCAGACGAAAGATGCAGACAGGAGGCGAGAGAGGAGAGAAGCAGAGAGATGGCAGTGCTGAAAGAAGCGAGAGAGTAAGCATACAGAGAGGTCACCCGACTTGTGCAGGCTAAAGCAGAAGCAGTCGCGGCTGAGATGGCTACTAGAACAGAGCGCGACCTATTACAGAAAGAAAGGGCTGCAGTCAGCATAGCAAAACAAAGAAACTAAGTCAGCAGGGCTGACAAAAGCACCCACACAGACAAGTTAACGCAGAAGGCTGATAAAGGCACAGCCACTGAAGCAAAAACAGTAAAAGATCAGGCACAGCTGACTGAACCCTTCAAAGGCACAGACCAGGACACAGAAGCCCATAGTGGGGAGCACAGCCTCAAGGCGCTGATGACCCTCCTCAAGGCTACCAAAGAGGAAAGACATCAACTTGACAAAAAGATGGAAGCAGACAAAATCATACACGCACAACTGGCAGAGGCATGGGCCCAAGTAGAACCTTACAAAAAAGAGGAGATTGACGAAGAAACGGGAAACACATACTGGAGATTTAAAAAGACCACAACAAACGAGCAGACCCACTGGCAGCAAACACCCCAAGGCAAGCGAGGCAGACGAAAGAACTTCCAATACTAAAGAAGACACAGTAGAAACCAGCTACCAATAAAAACCGCCCAAACCGCCATGACAGCTGAACAAGCCCGCCCACCAGCCCGGAGAAACCTCACAGCTGCTCACAACCAGCCAGGCATGATGTCCACCGCCAAATTGACCCCCACCCTACCCGATCCAGGCCGTCCCAGGCTTTGGTCTGCCCTTTTTAGGGCAGACCGAGATCACTTCCTACACTCTGACAGCAACAGCAACCTCAGGTTTAATATAAATGCCGCAACAGAAACTTGACGTTAATTGGAAAACAAATTCCAAACAACTATACACAGCCTTCGATATAACCACTGCTCAAACTAGGAGCCGGTTGAAAGAAGCACAAATTTTTTTTTTTTTACCAACACCAAGTACCAACTACCAATCTTCAATGTCGAGTATCTACATTTGTGGAGGTCTGCCTATGCCTCATTTTCTAGAAACTGTACCTTTCCTCACTATTCTCTACAGGGCATCATGACTTTTAACATCAACTTTTAGGACAGGATGCTGTATATGAGCCAATTCTACACAATGTTCACAACATATAAGATGACTGTGTTTTTCCTCTTGGCCCATGGTATTCTAAGAATTATTCTGTGGCATTTCAGTTTCAAGATTCCATATTTTTATTTCAATGACTGAGTAAGATTCCATGACTCACATCCATAAGTTGCCAAGGAAAAGATCCATGATCTAACATTTTGTACTTAAACTCACTTGCAGGTGTTATGCCGTCAGTTATTTATGCTGTTCAGTCTCTGCATTGCTAAAGCTAATCTTCCTGTGACTTCTTTTGTGCAGTCACCATTTTAGTTCACTGTAGAGCCTTATTATTCCAAACCTGGGACACTGTCAATATCTTCCTTTTAGATTTTATTATTTGTGACTGGTGTGCTGTATTAATTGGTGACTTATTTTTTCAAACTCAGAAAAATATTATCTTCTTTACTGTGCTTTCTGACAGTCAGAATTAATTCTTCTAAGCCTAGCACACTGTTGGAAAGGAGAGCTGTGTCATCTGCATATCTCAGCTTTAGGATAAGATCAATAAATATACTTTTTTTTTTTTTTAATTAATGCTCAACACTAGTGGAAAATGATGATGTTCCATCCCACTGCTTGTGTTTAATTCTTTTTTATCTATGCTCAACACTAGTGGAAAATGATGATGTTCCATCCCACTGCTTGTGTATAATTCTTTTTTATCGATGCTTAATAATAGTGGAAGATGATGATGTTCTGTCCCATTGCTTGTGTATAATTCTTTTTTATTGATGCCTAATAATAGTGGAAGATGGTGATGTTCTGTCCCATTGCTTGTGTATAATTCTTTTTTATTGATGCCTAATAATAGTGGAAGATGATGATGTTCTGTCCCACTGCTTGTGTATAATTCTTTTTTATCTATGCTTAATAATAGTGGAAGATGGTGATGTTCTGTCCCATTGCTTGTGTATAATTCATTTTTTATTGATGCTTAACACTAGTGGAAGATGGTGATGTTCTTTCCCACTGCTTGTGTAAAATTCTTTTTTATCTATGCTTAATAATAGTGGAAGATGGTGATGTTCTGTCCCATTGCTTGTGTATAATTCTTTTTTATTGATGCCTAAAAATAGTGGAAGACGGTGATATTCTGTCCCGTCGCTTGTGTATAATTCTTTTTTATCTATGCTTAATAATAGTGGAAGATGGTGATCTTCTCTGCCACTGATTGTCTAAAATTCTTTTTTATCTATGCTTAATAATAGTGGAAGATGGTGATGTTCTGTCCCATTGCTTGTGTATAATTCTTTTTTATTAATGCTTGATAATAGTGGAAGAGTGTGATGTTCTGTCCCATTGCTTGTGTAAAATTATTTTTTATCTATGATAATAATAGTGGAAGATGGTGATGTTCTGTTCCATTGCTTGTGTATCATTCTTTTTCATCGATGCTTAATAATAGTGGAAGATGATGATGTTCCGTCCAATTGCTTGTGTATAATTCTTTCTTATCTATATTTAATAATAGTGAAAGATGGTGATTTCCATCTCAATGCTTGTGTCTAATTCTTTTTTATCAATGCTTAACACTAGTGGAAGATTGTGATGTTATGTCCCATTGCTTGTGTCTAATTCTTTTTTATTAATGCTTAAAACTAGTGGAAGATGGTGATGTTCTGTCCCATTGCTTGTGTACAATTCTTTCTTATCTATGCTCTGTCCCATTGCTTGTGAATACTGGAAAAGTTTGTTACAGTTAGTGGAATAAAGATTGCTTAACGTTCGTCGTCTAATTAATTCACCGTCCTTTTTAGGATGACATTTATTATTATTTGAAGCCCCATCCTGGCTCTTGCCGGGGGCCACAATATAGCCAGGTCATAAATATGGCCTAATGGCTGAACGCAGTTTCTGGGACCTCTCCACGGTGATCCTCATCCACATGGTGGCACTCTGTGTCATAGGATGTTTATCACTTGTCTGATGTCCTAGTGGGGTAGAAAGTCAGTCAGTCAAGATTGCTTGACCAAGCTCACAGCACAGTGTGATGTCCTAGTAGGGTAGAAAGTCAGTCAGTCAAGATTGCTTGACCAAGCTCACAGCACACAGTGTGATGACTAAAATAAATTGTTAAAACTGATCTTAACCAAACATTTCACAATAACATTTCCTATCATCATCCTCCAGTTGTTCCATTATAAATTACATAGGGCTTACAGATTTTTTAAATTCCATTATATCCTGTGCAGTTACTGATACTTCATATACTTGCCTGAATTTCACGAAGAAGGAAAGCTTGAAAACCTTATAAAAGAGTCGTCTCTCCCATAACCACCAAAGAGCAGGGGTTACATTAGATTCTTTCCTCTCATCTTCTGTCTCATAGCACTAAATCAGACAAGGAAACAAGATCAGAAGACAGTTCTTTCTTTACCCAGAATACCTCACTACAATTATCTAAAATTTACAAAATATGTCAACAAAATATGAAACAAGCTCATGAAAATGTATGCTATTTGTTGACCAAATAGGCGTTTGAGACCATGAAATTTAAGGTGAGGTGTTGGACCTTCACTTATTCTAGGGCCCGACATACAAGGAGAGGTGTTGGACCTTTACTAATACTAGGCCCTGACATACAAGGTGAGTGAGATGATGGACCTTCACTAATTCTAGGCCCCAACATACAAGGAGAGGTGTTGGACCTTTACTAATACTAGGCCCTGACATACAAGGTGAGTGAGATGATGGACCTTCACTAATTCTAGGCCCCAACATACAAGGAGAGGTGTTGGACCTTCACTAATACTAGGCTCTGAAATACAAGGTGAGTGAGATGATAGACCTTCACTAATTCTAGGCCCCAACATACAAGGAGAGGTGTTGGACCTTCACTAATTCTAGGCCCTGACATACAAGGTGAGGTGTTGGACCTTCACTAATACTAGGCCCTGACATACAAGGAGAGATGTTGGACCTTCACTTATTCTAGGCCCCAACATACAAGGTGAGTGAGATGATGGACCTTCACTAATTCTAGCCTATGACATACAAGGTGAGGTGTTGGACCTTCACTAATTCTAGCCCATGATATACAAGGTGAGGTGTTGGACCTTCACTTATTCTAGCCCATGATATACAAGGTGAGGTGTTGGGCCCTCACTTATTCTAGGCCATGACATACAAGGAGAGATGTTGGACCTTCACTTATTCTAGGCCCCAACATACAAGGTGAGTGAGATGATGGACCTTCACTAATTCTAGCCTATGACATACTAGGTGAGGTGTTGGACCTTCACTAATTCTAGCCCATGATATACAAGGTGAGGTGTTGGACCTTCACTTATTCTAGGCCATGACATAAAAGGTGAGGTGTTGGACCTTCACTAATTCTAGGCCATGACATACAAGGTGAGGTGTTGGGCTTTCAATAATACTAGGCCATGACATGCAAAGTTAGGTGGCTGGTTCCCTTCTTTTCAGTTTTCCTCCTAATACAATTCCCAGAAGTCCATGCTGAAAATTAATAAGGCTGGGTCACTCCCATACTTGTAGAGAAAAACAATCCTGCCTCAGTTTGTGACTGAGCCTAAGCCTGTTTTGGTTGGCAAAAGCACTAATTACAGAATCACTGGGTTCTTCTTCTTCACTTCCTTTATAGCCGCTGCGGGTGTTTTGGGAGGTATAAGGTTCTGCTTCTTGTTCTTCTAGCAGGCTCGACAATAACACACTATGCTGTTGTAGAGTTTCTCTTTTTTCCCATCTTGTTCTTGATCTACTTTGTGCTCTACATCCTTCTCTCTTCTCAAGGCACTCTCTCTAAGTAGGCAAATCATTTGTCTTTTGTGGAATTTAAAATTGGTTCAGTGCCAATCTTTTCTCTTATCTCATGTCTAATTTTTATCTCATTGACTCCTGCAATCCTTTTCAGACATCTCATTTCTGTGGCTTCTAATTTTCTATTGTTTTATGGTTTGTTGTGAGTGATGATGTCTGGCACTGGTAGCACAGAGTTGGAATGAATATGCTTTGTATGAGATGTATGTGCTGACTGGCACTGTCTTATGCTATAAAAGGAGGGGGAGGGCTAGCTGTACCAGTAGTTGGTTTGCTTTACTGCATCTGATGTTAATTTCTTCACCCAATTTCCCACTTTCAGAATGTGGTTCCCAGATATTTAAACTTGAATATATGTTTAATGTCTTTTGCACTTTACTGCTGGTTTCTGCTGCTTTCTTATTATTAATATTATTTCTGTCTTTTCAAAGTTGATTCTCAAATTATTTGTGATTTGTCTATTCACAGATATTAGATGCTGTTGCAATTTTATTGCTGTATCTGCTATCAAGACCTGGTCTTCACCTAATAGTCATTGATCTTACAATGGTTACAACACATAAACCAGCCATTATTTATATATATATATATATATATATATATATATATATATATATATATATATATATATATATATATATATATATATATATATATATATATATATATATATATATATATATATATATATACTGGAAAAGACTGGAGCCTCATCAGTTAATATTTACATAATTTGCAGTGGTGACACCGAGGCCAAACTGCATTATGGAGAGCGAACTTTGTGTGTGAGTGTGTGCGTGCATGTGTGTGCGCCATACACATTTTCCTTTGTTTGACCTTGTATCTGCATGTGCGTGTATACATGTATAGGCAAACTTATGCACCTTCAAGGTTAAACAAAGGAAAAATGTAACTTACAAACAAAATCAAAATCACTACAATAGTACAAGACTACTTGTATTTAAATGAAAAAAAAAATCAGCACAAACCATTGTAACATATGAAGCACTGATTGTGAAAAACATATTTTCAGATCGTGCTGTATCAGCTGACACCACCTGCAGGTCATAGGGGTTATACTGAGCTCTCAAGTGGCCTCGATTGCTGGGCAAGCAGTAGAAAAATTCTCCATCATCCTCTTTTGTATTCTCTGTTTCCTGCAATTGGAAATCAATGAAATTCTTAAACAGTTATAATTTCTTAGCATGCAAAATGTGACACCGAAATATCATCAAAACAGTCAGCTTTACACAATAAAAATAAATACAAAACATTTTTTTTCTTAATCAATCAATCAGGTGACGTCTCCACAATGAAGGTTGGCTGCAATGGATCTCCAACAAGCCCTGTCCATCTCTTGATGTTATCCTCCCACTTGTAGCGCTGTCTGCCGCTTGCTCACCTACCTTGAACCTTTCCCTCTAGGATGATCTTTACAATACTGTTATGTCTTTTTTATTTCACCTAGCAACTCTCTTTTCATTCCCAATTTCCTCAGTACCTCTGTATTTGATAGCTTTTGTTTCCATGAAATACAACCTAATCTTCTGTATATCTACATCTCCAAAGAATTGATACGATTTTCCAGATGTTTGTTCATTGTCTATGTCTCTGTGCCATATAGTAAGGTTGAGAATACATAACATTTGACAATTCTCATTTTTAAATGTATTGCTTAATTCTCTTGAAGTCAGTAACTTTTGTATGTTGTTGAAAATGTTTTTGGCCATCCCTATTCTTTTCTTGACTTCTGTTTCACTTCTGCAGTCACATGTTATTACTTGTCCAAGCTATAAGAAATTTTTAACTTTTTCCAATTTTACCCCGTTCACTGTGATATTCATTGTTAGCTGATAATAGGTATCTGGAATTATGCTGTTTTATTAGAATGGAAATGTAAAGGAAATTCTGACAGACATTGAGACTTGATTGCTAATCAACAAATACAGAAGACTAATTCTGCATAAACAACTATAACAATTACTAATAAACAACAATCATTCATTATCTGGTTACTGTGTAGAATTAAGGGAATTAAATGGTATGATAGAATCACTAATGTTCAGCTTTGGGAGAGAACTAAACAAGTTCTAGTGAACCAAGAGATGAAGAAAAGATGCTGGCATTGGATAGGACACACGCTGAGAAAACCTGAAAAACATATAATTAAATGTTTTTGTGCTAGAACCCACAGGGGCATAGAAATAAAGGTAACACAAAAAACACACGCAGAAGTGAGCTAGAGAGTGAAGTTAAAAAGATGGGGAGGACACGGGGTGAGCTGCATGCAATAGTAAAGGATAGAACGACTTGGCATGAGTTAGTTGTAGACCTATGCTCTACTGGGGGACAGAAGGCAGAAGAAGAACTTGTTCTTTTTTTGTCAATATTTGCTTATGCTGCTAGGTGTCACAGTTCATCAGACGATCAGCAGCCGAGCCAGGGCGCGCTTAGTCGCTTGATATGCCGTGATGTTATGCAGTCTCAGGGTGTCAGTGACTCTTTCAATCCATCTTCTTCTCGGCCTTCCCCTGCCTCTTGATGTTTCTATTTTCAAATTGTACGCTCTTGCTGCTGGCATCGATGGTTTCATTCTCACTGGATGGCCAAGCCATTTCGTTAAAAAAAAAAAAATTTGACGATGGGTGTTATTTTAAGTTCTTGTGAACACGTCCTTTCTCACTTGATCTCTTCTGGTTTTTTCCACAGCCATTCTAAAACATATCACCTCACAGATGGTTAGTTTTCTTTCGTGTTCTTTCGTCGATGTCCAAGTCTGACATTGGTAACCTAAAGTCAGTATAAATATTATATTTATAATTTGTCTTTCTGCCTCTATTGGGATAGCAGGGTGCTTGAAAATTGGAGCAAGTTGGTACATGACATTGTTGGCTTGTTGGATTCTCATTTCTATCTCTCTGTCTATTTTACCATTGTGTGTAAAGATGCTTCCCAAATATTTAAATTCTTACACTTGTTTCAGACTTTGATGTTTAATCTTTATGTCGATGGTTTGTTGCTCTCTACTTATTCTCATGACTTCTGTTTTTCCAATATTAATCTTCATGTGATGTTTGAGGTAACTGTTGTGTAGTTGGTTTATGTGCTCCTGAAGCTGTTTACTTTCACTGTGAAATATGCACTGACTGTCGGCAAAGAGCAGCTCACTGAAGTCCTCCTGTTCATCGACATCTGGTGGTATTACGTCTGTTTTACTAATTGTCCATGAATATTATAAAAAGTAATGGTGAAAGGCCTTACTCCTGATGTTACTGGGAACCAATCTGTGAGGACAGCTCTTGTTCTGATGACACTTTCACTTCTCTATAAATAGCTCTTACACAGTCTAGCACTGTTCCATTTATACAGTAGTTTTCAAGGACAACCCATAGTAAATCTCTGTTCACTCTGTCAAAAGCGTTTTCTTGATCTATAAAAACGATGTTCATTTGGTGTCTGTGTTTTGTTGTCTTTTTGCTAATTTGCCTTAGGCTGAAAATAGCGCCAGTACACCCTCTTCCTTTCCTGAATCTGACCTGTGCTGAGCTCAGAATTGGTTCTACAACAAATCTAATTCGGTGTTTCAGAATCTTAGCAAACATTTTACCTATGTGGCTTAAAATGTGTCTATAAGTGTTACAATCTTGCAGCGGGGAACCAGCCCTGAGCTTCATGAACGCAGGAGGGCCCACCTCCGAATACGTCTAGGAATCGTGGGCCGAAACGTGTGTCGACGAGGATAATTTCTACTGATGACTGGTAGATCCCCGCTGTACTTGCTCCCTGTGAGTTTATTCCTATTGTACGTGGCTAGCCCACAAGATTACCAGGAAAGAATGGTGACTCTCGGGAAAGACCTTTTGACACCTATGGAAAGACTGGCCCCCCGGTATCGCCGGGGGGATAAAATGACATCTGGAAACAGATGTCGACTGTGGACCGGGTTGATCACCCCTAACACAGTATAATACCTCTGATTTCGTACAACCACAATGAAATATGTCCCCAGGGCCCTCCGAAAGGGGGGGAGAATGAAGGGCCCAATCCAATTGATACTCTCGGTGACGACTTTGCTAGCCCCCGGACTCAGATACTCGCCCAACGTCTGGGCTGGCTCTGTACATGTGGGAAAAGCTTCACGGGGTTGCATGGTCTGAGAACGCATGCCGGAAGAATGAAATGCGAGGGTGCTCCACGCAGTAAACGCCATCGCAAAACTACCACTCCTGTGGTAGTTTCTGAGTCGTCAGGGTACGACGAGCAGGGTGAACCCCACTCGCCCGGAGAGGCCCATGACGTCGACTGCGGAGGAGCACCTTTGATGATTTCTGAAGAAGTGCGTTCCAGAATCAGGTTTCCACCTGCGAGCGAGAAGGTGGTGTGGTGTAAGTTGGAGGCTACATTATGTGAGATACTTAAACAAACTCTAAACAAGAAGTCGCTAGGCGACAAGCTTACTAAATTTGGTGATGTAATATATGAACACTGCTCCCGCGAGTTCGGGACAGTGGTAAAGGCACAGCCGGGTGCCAAGCAGAATACTAGCAGGAGGCAGAGGGACATTCTGAAGTGTCGGGCAGACAAGAATGCCCTCAGAAAACGGTTCAAAGCCGCTACAGGCAGCGAACGGGAGGGGCTGTACGAAGTTTGGTTGCATTTAAAGAACAAACACAGTGCCCTCTGTCGCGCCGAGCGTTTCTGTAACAACAGACGTAAAACCAAAAGGGAGCGAGAGAAATTCTTTAGGGACCCGTATCAGTTTGCCCGAGGTCTATTCGAGCAACCGAAGTCTGGGACTCTGGTTGTCAGTCAGGAAGAACTTGAGCTACATCTACGCAAGATGTACTCTGATAAAAAGAGGAGGGAGCCTCTCGATGACAATCCAGAGATCCTTAGCGGCCTTAAACAGCCTTCGGTGCCGAAGGTACCATTTAAAATGGTACCTCCCCTTTGGTCTGAGGTTGAGGAAGTTGTGAAAAAAGCCAGCGGCAAGTCTGCCCCAGGTCCGAACGGTGTTCCGTACGTTTTTTACAAGCGTTGCCCGAAAATCCTAAAAATGCTTCACGTCTTGTTGAGACAAGCATGGATCCGCAATCACATATGTCCAGAGTGGTCAAAGGCAAATGGGGTCTACATTCCCAAAGAGCAGGACTCAAAGAGTCTTTCCCAATTCAGGCCCATCTCGCTGTTGAATGTCGAGGGTAAGATATTCTTCTCAGTCATGGCTCGCCGGCTCACACAGTATCTGATGACTAACAAGTACATAGATACGAGTGTTCAGAAGGGTGGCATTCCAGGCGTTCCTGGGTGCCTTGAACACGCGACCATGATTTGGGAGGCTATCCAGAGAGCCAAGCATGAGAGAACCGATTTGCACGTTATATGGTTGGACTTAGTCAACGCCTACGGGGCAGTCCCCCATAGGCTACTGTGGCGAGCCCTTCGCATGTTTCACGTACCGACACAGATCAGTCAAATGATCGAGCAATATTTCTCCAAGTTCGCTTCTCTACCTCGACGTTTACCACGAGGTGGACTGAGTTGCAGATTGGGATAGCTATGGGGTGTACGATCTCACCTATACTGTTTGTCATGGCAATGCAGATCATGTTAGACGGGGCGGCCGGCTACGGACTGGGCCTTCAAATAGGGGATCACTGGTTGCCGCCACTACGCGCATTTATGGATGACACGAATATAATAACGGGCAGCGAGGAGTCTGCCCGCACGATCCTGGAAAGATTGGACGCGGTGGTCCAATGGAGCGGTATGCAGTTCAAACCGCAGAAGTCAAGGAGTCTGTCAATCCATAAGGGCAAGGTGTCGGCAATCAGTTTTACGGTGGCAAGGAACAAGATCCCAACGGTTCTGGAGGAACCGGTGAAGAGTCTCGGTCGCGTTTACGATTCGAAGTTATCTGATAGAGCGGAGGTCCGGCGAATACACGAGTCACTGGCTACAGGCCTGCTCGAGCGATGCAGGCTGATCGGAAAATTCAAGGTATGGTGTCTCCAATTCATGTTGATTCCAAAGCTCCTATGGCCACTGTTAGTCTACGGGGTGACGATGACTGCAGTGGAAGCCATGGAGAAAAAAATCAACACAGCCTTAAGAAAGTGGATTGGAGCACCGCCTTGTCTGACCGACGTGGCTCTGTATTGCAAACAGGCTAAGCTGGTACCTCCGTTCAAGTCGATAACCGAAGAGTTTAAAGTCGGCAAGGTAAGACTCGCCATGCTTTTGCGCGAGTCTTCAGACCCAAATGTCATCGCTGTCCAGCCCGCTCTAAAGACTGGAACCAAGTGGAGAGTCCTCGATGCGATAGAATCTGCCCAGAATGCACTAAAATTGAGAGAGATAATGGGATACACACAACCGACCGTCGAGGCCTAGGGCACGGGAAGGTCAATTGGTGGTCAAAGGCCTCAGCCAAAGAGCGCCGAGACATGGTAATACAAACGGTGAGGGACAACGAAAACGAGGTTCGGGTCCAGAAAGCAGCCCAGCAGTTGCAGCAGGGCCATTGGGTCAGCCTGGAGAGCGCATTGCCAAGAATACTCACATGGGGTGAGATCTGGTGGATGACCCCGCTGCGACTGAGCTTTATCGTTCGTTCGGCGTACGATGTATTACTGTCCGGTGTTAACATGGTTAAATGGTCTGCGACCAACGATCCGACCTGCCCGTTGTGTAAACGTCCTGTCCGCGTGCAGGAAAGCCTTAGGTCAAGGCCGATACACATGGCGACACAACAAGGTGCTAAAAGAGTTAGCAGCCGTTGTCGACCAGGCTAGAATGAGGGCTAATGCCAGAGCCAGTTCTAGCATCGTCCCCATTTGTTTCCTCAAGGCTGGTCAGGTTCCAAAAGGTAAGGTCAACCAAAACGCATTCGCTCCATCTGTGCTAGACTCTGCGAGGGACTGGTTACTGGCGGTTGATCTGCCAGGCCATGAACGGTACCCCGAGTTGATCCGTAAGACCGGCCTGCGACCGGACATCGTTCTCCATTCTGCGCAAAAACGGCAGCTCATCCTGATCGAGCTGACGGTCCCGTTTGAGTCGCGTATGGAGGAGAATCATTTGTACAAGCTCGAGAAGTACAGTGATTTAGCAGCCGGTCTGAGGAGAAATGAGGCTTACACAGTACGGGTTTTTGCCGTCGAAGTGGGAGCGAGAGGCCTCGTTTCCACTTCGCTCTACAATGTGGTGAAAGAACTAGGATTGCGCGGTAATGAACGGAAACAAACACTCAAAAAACTGGGAGAGGCAGCCGAAAGGGCCTCTAGCTGGCTTTGGACGCAGCGCAACAACGTAGGGGACGGGCCTCGGTGAGCTGGTCCGGGTGTCTAGTGGAAAAGAGTTTCTCACCCCTTTGAAAGTCCATCGTGTCCGAATTGTCTGCCAGTGTTCCTCTGCCAACTGCTAATAAAAGTCCAACATGTGTCCGGTAAACCAAAGTAAGCTTGTCGCTCGGTCGTCCAGGCATGCTGACTGCTTTAATTAAGCTGCCGCGGCGGCTTCTTATCTCACAGTACCTTCTGCGAAACCACCAAGTCGTCTTGTCTCTGGCCGAAAGTAAATCACCATCCGGTAATTCCGTGCAGCGGGGAACCAGCCCTGAGCTTCATGAACTCAGGAGGGCCCACCTCCGAATACGTCTAGGAATCGTGGGCCAAACGTGTGTCGACGAGGATAATTTCTACTGATGACTGGTAGATCCCCGCTGTACTTGCTCCCTGTGAGTTTATTCCTATACAATCTTGCTTATTGCCTTTTCTTTTCCATATTGGTACTATAATGGCTCTTTGCCAGTCTACTGGTACAGTTCTTTCATTCCAGGCTTTCTTAAATATATGGAGTAGCCAGGTGACTCCAGTTTCTCCACAGGCCTGTATTGCCTCAGCTGTAATTCCATCAACACCAGAGGCCTTATTTTTTTGGACAGCCCCTGATTGTTTCTCTGACTTCTGTTCAATTATTCCAGGCTATTCCTCTTGTGTATATCTGGGTGCGAATGGTACAGTTCCTTCATTTTCTGTTACATTCAGAAGAGTCTGGAAATATTCTTTCAATCTTCCTCTGATCTTACCCTCTACATGTATGGGTCTTCTTTGACTGTCATTGACATATTCTGATGGTTGGAATGGGACATCTCTAGCTATCATTTTTGCAATGGTTTTGTAAAAACTGTCTATAAGAATTAGCACAAAGTTTGGTCAGATTTTCCCCATACATGATCCAGGATGTTTCCTTGGCTTGTTTGATTGCTCTTACAGATTGTCACCTTGCTACTCTATACGCAATATAGTTGTCATCTAAACAGGATCTTAGCCATGTGTTGTTTTTTTTTTCTCTTTTAATTGTCACTGTTTGTTTTACATTATCACTCCACCATGCTGTTCTTTTCCTCAGTGTTCCTTTGTCTGTCTGATACCACAGTGTGTTGTTAAGCAGTTTAGGAGCGTACTCTTAAATGTTTGCCATGTTGTTTCTACAATGACACTTGTTATTTGTTGTTAGCGCACCCATCTTCGCCGTCATTTCTGCCCTAATCTTTGCTTGGTTGTCTAGGTCCCTTAGTTTTCTTATGTCAATCATTGTGGTACGTTTGCTGTCTTTGGTTTTTCGCTGATCGTTGCAACTCTGCATAAAGACAAATTAGATGCAGGGAAGACTAGTTAACTTACACACACTCCAACAATAACTAAGCCCCAAAGAAATACTGAAGCAAGTATGTTTATACACACCCAATCCTATATTGACAAACATGTGTGGAGAATGATAAATAATTTAGAAGACTGTGTCCATATATTGCACACATTTTGTTTTTTAAGAAATAAGAATAGAAAGTAGTATCTTTTAATTACAAATTTAAATTTCAGTCTCCAAGTGTGAAAACATTATCACTGGAGAATTCTACACTAGTTGCTGGTTTGATATTATGAGTTTTCTCAATACAATAGCTTGGAAGTAGCCTGGTGATGTCTTATTTGGGAACATCATCTCACTCTAGATTCTAGGCTTTGGTAATCCCTGAATTCACAATCCCTAGTATTCTCACGCTTCCTCCAGGAAACATGTTATCGTCATTGTTGGTTGTTCATCACTGTTGGACAGAATTTACCCTGTGTAGGTTCTGGGGCCCCATTGTGGGAAAAACAAGAATAGACCCACTGCCTACCCAGAAAAAGCAGGTGGTAGGAGTCGAATAACGGGAGCTTCCATTGAAGTCAGAGTGCATCTGTCGAAACGGGAAGGAACAACCAACTGCACACAAATAAGCCAGTAAAATAGATGTACACTCAAAACTCAGGCCCAGGCACAAAGCCAAAGTCCAAATGGACGAACAACCAGTACTTACCACGGCAGCTTACGTGGATGAATAAAGAAGAATATGACATTATTACGTTGCACTCTGAAGAATCACTGGTTTATTCTTAGCTTTGCTGGTTGATTTAGGAGTTAATTGCTGATTTCTAAAATTTTCTAATTTTTCAAATTTCTAACTTTTAATGTCCAAAATGTAATAGACAATGAACTTAAAATAATGCAAGTGCCTTACTTTGTTAGTATGTGGAATATCTTTTAGTTTGCACATCTTCTCTTTTGAACTGGGACCATGTCTTGGAATATCAACTACCCAGCCAATTTTTTTTCGCATTTCCAAGAGCACTTCTAATGCATTTGTGTTCTCTGGAACTGAAGAAAATTGTAGACATGTTCAGTGAAGAGGGAGTAATCAGACAAATTACAAAAGCTGCACATAGAAGAAAAAATGATAACTTCAAAACACCATCAAAGTTTTTTTTCTTTAAAGTAAGGTCAAGGACCTCGCTCATACCAGTGACGCATCGGGCATATGATGCTAGACCATCGGCACTGCATGAGTCTTAGGGTCCTGGGTCATTTTTTGTAATATGGAATCGATGAGGATTCAAACCAAAAACCTCTCAGCTGGTGGCGAGCATCTAGTTGCTACATCACTACAGCTCCCTTATTTCTTCAACATAGGTTCCCCCCCCCCCCCCCCCCCCCACACACACACAAATGTACACATGTGTGTGCACAAACACACATGTACACACATGTGCGCACATACACACATGCACGCACTCACACACACACGTACATGCCCAAACACACAGAATATTAATTATAAAAGCCATCTTTATAACAACTTTACTCTACTAATGTCCTTCTTGGACATTACCCAAAGAATCTGTGAAAAAACAAAACACCTGTGAACTGAGATGTTTTGAGATGTTTGAGCTAGGTTGCAAACAAAATCAGAAGAGATTGTGTGCAAAATCAAGAGATTAGAAAACTACATGAACAATACCTATTGTTAAATTAATTGAAAAAAAAAATAAAGACTGAAATTGTTCAGCCACCTAATGAGAATGAACCCAATGATGCCAGAAGTGAGAGCATGCAACACAAAAATGGAAATGCCAAGAGGCAGCGGCAGATTTAGAAGAAGAAGAATTAAAGGAGTCACTGACAGCATGAGACTCCACAACACCACAGCATACTAAGCAGCCAAGCATGCCTTGGCTCGCTGTCTAAACCATGTTGCCTAGCGGCACAGAACAGATGTTGACAAAAGAGTAAGGTAAATGAAAATAATTTCTTATAAAATAAATGAATAAATGCTGGATTGTAAAAAGTGTAGATCCACAAACGCATCTCACGTTAAAATTTATTGTGCAGAAAATCAGACACATACTGGCTGCATGAATCCAAAATAAATGTCAAGGCTGGACTGAATAATATAAGTGTTAATAACAGAGTATGAACTACCATGGTATATGATGCTCATTAGCTCTGTAAACTGAATATAAGCGGATATGCACTAGAACGCACCAGTACAGAGTGAGCAAATAGGACGTCAAAACAATACGTAATGTTGTTAAGGGATTGTTGTCTAAGCATTCGTTGTATACAGTCTGAAGGAGACAGACGTGTGGATCCTTGAGGACGCTCTATCCTGGGATGCCACGTAAAGCATTCTTTGAATAAAGTCTGGAAGAGACCGACGTGTGGTCATGTCTCAGTGGATCCTTGAAGACTCTCTACCCCGGGACTCCACTAGAAACCTCAGCTGGAAGCTGGTACATTAAAGAATTGTAATCGAAGATTCGTTGAACACAGTCTGGAAGAGACAGACGTGTAGTCATGTCTCAGTGGATCCTTGAGGATGCTCTACCTCGGGACTCCACTAGGGAACCTCAGCAGAAAGCTAGTACATTGTCTATTGCACTCGGCAGGAAGCCAGTGACTTGAAGGAGGGATTCTCCAGGCCGAATCATTAAAGAGGGACATTGGCCTGTTCAGACTGCCGAAGAGGAGATCGATGTGACCGTCCGGACTTTCAAGGTCGGACTGTTGACCTGTCATTTGAAGTGAAGCTGTCATTCAAAGTTCGCTAAGAGTGTGCGTGTGGTGTGTTGGCATGTTTGGGTGAGTCTTCAACAAGAGTCTTAGTATTTTGCACATTTTATCATTGATCAAGTTGTCAACAAATACAACAATTACTTATTTCCCTAGTCTTCAGCTTAATTGCGTTTGGAAGCCTTGAAGTTCATCATGTTCTGCCACACTTGGCTGGTAGCATTGTAATTTATCTGATGCCGCATTTTAATGTATCCGATCACACAATTCAAAGGGAACCTACGCCTCTCAGCGAGCCGCCGTTCATCAAATTATTTTGTGTGTGCTAAACTGTAATCTTCTGCAATCATTCTATTTTCATTACTGATTTCTTTAAAAATGTTTAGTATGTTATTTCATATTTCTGTACTCTAAATGCAAAAATATCAAAGTACTGCTATTGGTCAATTCAAAAATGATGATTGTCCACATCAGGACACGTGCATCATCATATTGTAACTGTTTTATAAGATGAGAACATTTGCAGAAGGTATTAACAGTCTGGAAGACAGAGTGTTTGAGACAATGTGATAGTGTCATAATTTGCTGGATGGAATGGCAAAGTGGAATAGTTCATGATTACAGCTGTACATAACAAAAGCACATTGGATGGATGTTTGTGGGAACTCTTGACTGCCTATTTCTTGGGTGCAGACTGACAGGCTGCTGCTGTACCTCTGGACAGTGAGCTACTTTGTGATAAAGCAGGCATGGTGAACAACTTTCTGGGATCAAGTGAACATGAGGACAAAAAGGGCATCCTTACCTTGAGAGACTGATTCAGTTGGGAGTGAGCAGAGGATCTGAATGGTCTTCAACATGGAGAGAAAAAGAGAGACTTTTAATCAAGTTGCAACTTGCACCATCAGTTTGAGAACTCTTTACTGAGGAAGGAATAGAGCATGTTTTGGATTCCATCGAGTACAATGAGATCAGTTCTTGAATCAATCATTTCATCTTTCATTCAAGACTGCCCATGCCATACAGCAGACTAAGATGATCATATTCACCCCATTCTTACACATGCATTTACCTGATATTTGTAAAGATTAACAACCCTGAAACTATACCTTTATCGTCATATTTGTTCTTTCTGTAGAAAGTCTGCTCTTTGCTGGAGTTTTTCTTTGAAAGAACATATGACATTGACTGAGATTTAATAGTCTGTGTTGTTTGTACAGAATCTGCTACTGCTGCAGTGACATCAGTGCACTCTGGTGGCCCTGTTGTCTTGAAAAGCAAATTCAGTTATCTTTTTAAGGATTGGAGAAAAACACTGATATGATGAAGAAAACAGGCAACCCTACTTTCTTCTCAATGTCAATGCTTTGTGGTGTGGGTGATCATGTCTTCCCACAGCCCTCTGTCAAATTTACTGTCAATCATTTCTGATACAGATGTTCATCCATGCTATCATGCCAAATACTCCAGTATTATAGCTGCTGTTTGCTGCCAATACATAGTCTTTATTATTCGTAGATCTTTTCCATCAATGTTTAATTTTTCTAACAGTTTAATTACTTCTTCATGTTTCACACAGTCAAATGCTTTTGTATAGTCTATGAAGCATAAGTACAAATCAGTCTTTACTTCTATAGCTCTTTCTGACAATGTCCTTAGGATGTAAATGGCATTGTTTGTACCTTTTCCTTCTACAAATCCATATTGTTTATCGCTGATTTCTGGTTTAATTTTGTTTCTTATTCTTCTCATAATTATTTTCAGTAAAATCTTAGTCATGTGACTCATAAGACTTATTGTGCGATGGTCTTCACATTTTAAAGTGCCTGGTTTCTTTGGCAGAGCTATAAATATGGATTTTAAAAGGTCATTTGGAATATACCCACTATTATAAATATCATTTAAAAGTTTAGTTATTATTTCAATTCCAAAATCTCCCAGTGCTTTGATTTCTTCCAGTGAGATGTTGTCTGGCCCGGGTCCTTTTCCTTTCCTTATATGATGTATTGCATCCTCAACTTCGGCAGTCATTATTGGTGGACCATCATTGTTGGTCTGCAGTTCTACATCTGGTCTATTATCATCATACAATTCCCCTATATACTCTGTCCATCTGTTAATTATATTACAATGTCCCATTAATAAGTCACCATCTTTTGATTTCAAACATCCAGTGCTGTTATGTGTCATCTTTCCTGTTAAGATATTTATCTGTTGGTACATGGAATGTGAGTCTTTCCTGTGATTTTCCCCAATCTCTGTACACATTTGATTCAGCCAGGCTTCTTTAGCCACTTTGCATTTGTTCATTATTTCTTTTTGTATTCTAGAGTATTCTTCTTTATCATTCTTTTTATTCCTTCTTTCATCCATCAACTGCAGAATTTCGGTTGACATCCATTTCTTTTTTGCAACTCTATGGGTTGGTGGGATTGTCTCTTTTGATGTCTGCTGAATTGACTCACGCAACATATCCCACTGTTCATCAATAGTCTGTATAATTTCCATTGCATTATACCGGTTTTGTACAGTGACATTGTACTGTTCCTTAATTTCTTTATCCGTTTTAAGAATTCCTAAATTTAACTTGATGTTCTGTGGTGTTTTTCTAATGTTCTTTAGTTTTATTCTAATTTTTCCTACAACTGGAACATGGTCACTAAAGCAGTCTGCCCCTGGTCTAGTTTTTGCTCCAACTAAGCTGCTCTGGAATCTTCTTGAAATAAAAATATAATCAGATTGCGGACATTACCACCAGGACTTTTCCAAGTCCACAATCTTTGAGGATGGTGTTTAAACCAGGTGTTACCAATTATCATGCTGCGCGACTCAGCCCATGCTATTAATCTGTCACCTCTCACATTCTTTTCTCCTAGGCCATAGCCACCCGTTATTCCGTACACTTTTTCACTTCCTACTTTCGCGTTGAAATCTCCAAGTACCATTGTTACTTCACAATTTTTGCAATGATCAACAGCCATGTCTAACTCATCATAAAATGCGTCAATATCTTCCTCTGAACTATCTGCTGTTGGGGCATAAATCTGTACTAAGTTGATGTCAAACGGTCTGCCGCGAACTTTTACTAATAGTACTCTATCTGATATTGTCCAAAATCCTTTAACAGTTTTTGAGTTCTTTGGATCCAAAATAATACCAACTCCCTTACTATATTCCTTCCCACCCGAGTAAATAATTCTGTACTGATCTGAATACTTTCCCCCTGCTCCTGGCCATCGCATTTCACTAATTCCTAATATGTTGATGTTCATTCTCTTCATTTCCATCTTGATGTTATCCAGCTTTCCGTTTTGTATGAGTGTTCTGACATTCCATGTACCAATGTTCATGATGTTTCTACCATTTACTTTTTCTGCAGTAGCTGGATGACGGTCGGGTATCACCCGTAGAACATGATGCTCCCTACCGGACGAGGTGATTCCACCGGAATCCCCATTCATGTCGTTATCTGAATACGTATTATTTTGAGGCATGATTTTCTTGGGATAGTACAGCAGTGGTTTCCCCTTGCCTTCCGCCGATTTGTATATGGTTTGACTCCAATAGCCTTTGTCTAAAGAGACTTACCCTGCAAGGCAGCAGGGGGGAGAGGTTATGGCACCTCTTACCCGCCGATGGCCATGTCGTTAAGTTTTGAGGTATTTTATAGAGTTAGCTGTCCCACCAACTAACTCGCCTCCTCTCAATGACTATCACCTGTTTTGGTCCACGGCCACTTATTCAATATATTCGTAGCTAACCTCTATATCTAGAGGCCTTTCCACCATCCGCCACCTGGTGGACACGCCTAGTAGTAGGACAGGCTCCTACCCCATTGCACTATTTAGCCCTCAAATGACTAAACAGTTGATTAAGGCAGGACCGTGCCATGCTATGATACAGAGAGGCCGCCGCATTAAGCAGTACTATTGGGGGAAGGGGGGGAAAGAAGGGGCGAGCGGCTTTAAGCAGTGAAAATCAAAATACAATTATTGTAAAGAAAAAGCATTTAAAGGGCGGCATTCTGAAGACTTGATCATACTGAGAAAATCTACTGCAGAAATCTACATAAAGTAAATGCAAGAAAGACAAATTGTCAGAACAAACAAAAAATATCTTTATTTAGAAGCATTTATGTATAGGGCACTCTAGCAGAAAATAACTTCATGTGAAATGCGCTGTCTCCGCAAGGTTACTAGCAACACAAGAAGGAACAGTTTATGAGAATACCAGCATTAGAAAGTTGGAATAATACCATGTCTGGATTATACTGACAGACAAAAAATAAAATGGTTCAGCCATCTAGTGAGAATGCAACCTGACCAAACTGCACATAAGTCTTTATCTAGCAGAATGTCTCGGAGGAAGGCAAGGGGAAGACCTAGAAAGAGATGGATAAACAGAAACCTGCAGAAAAATGAACAAATCCATTACCCAGTCCACCTGAGAAGTGCACGACAAATACACACAAAATAAAATTTTAAAAAACCCACAAAACTGGACTACAACCTGGTATCAGTGAGAAGACAAAAAAAGAAGAAGATTTAGAAGATCATTTATGTGGGAATAGTGTATTTACAAATGTTAATTTAAAGCTGCTTGCATTTTCAAATCTAAGTGTCATGGAGTGGGAGGTATCTGGTTAGGTCAGGGCAAGGTGTGTAGAAGATCGTTTGATCATTGTTCTCAGTTCATCAAGTTTACTCCCAACATTGATCTTAAATTTCACTTTTCAGCATGCTGCAGACAAACTAGATTGAAACACTAAGGCAGTGCTACTAGTTAGTCCATTGTGACCTCTCAGACTCCAATGACCACTAAACATCTAGGAGAATGCTAGTTCACAACACAGTACAAGTTATAAAAGAATAACAAACAATGACATAGTTCTTATACTATTATTTAGTTCTCTTTAAATAAACACAATCAATTTTAAGTATTCACATGAGACTACTACTGCTAGCTGAACTATCACTTGTTCAGACCATCCACTGAGACATCTATTTGATGACTGGCTTCAACTTGCTCATAACCTGAGCTCTTTTCCCTGGCCTCACCTATTTCATATGGTTTGTATGTACTCCATTAATACTCATTTTTATGTTTTGCTGTTTAGTCTAGACCTTCCCCCCCCCTCCCCCTACAAAGATCACAACACTCACTAAAGTAACCACTGCTATTGATTTTGTCTGTCCTATTTTTCTTTTTTCCGTTCTTTCTATGAGTGTTAATCAACACTTGTAAAATGTATTTATGCTACTGCTTGGGAGAGAGACATATCATTAAAAATTTTTTTAATAGGCTATCTGGAGTGTGCAGCCTTACCTGCATGGCCAAACTGGAACTTCCTGACATAACCTTCTTTTGCTGACAACTTGTGTGTTTTTGTCCTATTTTGTGGTCTGTTCCTTCTAGCTTGTTTTCCTCCAGAGCATTACCTCTTTCATGCTTATTTCTCTTACTTCTGACCCTTATATGGCTGGCGTCTGAAAGAGATGGGTGCATCTATAAAATACAGAATATTCTATGCAAGAGAGCCTGAAGACAAGTTTAAGGAGGTTACATGTTCTACTCTAAGTCCTGGATTTAGCTATGTTGTGTGCAGACCTGCTTTTCAATTATGGTTGAGAACCTGTATTTCCCAGACATGTTACCCATATATCTTCTGTTGTGTGCACACATTTATTTTAATCTCTGCCTAAGAATTGTCACTGTTTACTTTCAGAAAGATATTAAAACATGTCAGAATTATGAGTTAAGAACAGACATCACAGTACTTGAGGTTTCACATAAATACTTCATCTCTATCTTCAGCAGCCAGTATAGTTCCAATACTAATGGTGCCAGTTGTAGTCTGATTATAGGTTCCTCTTGTCTTTCTTCTGAGCACTTAGTGCCAGCCAGATCCTCTGGTCACTCCTATCTGCAACATTCTTTCTAGACTTTGGTGATCTGTTCTCACTTCCACATTATTCACTGTGCTTCCACAAGGTGTAGACTCTATCAGCCTTGCCAGGCATCAGTTCACCATCCAATGGTGGAGAACCAGCCAGCCTGTCTTATGGTACTTTCATCAAACACTGGCATGCCCTGGAGAAATGATCCAGAGGACACTAACTACTTCTGATTTTTGAGAAGAAAGATCCTTGCCAGTCTTCACTTCTCCCAGCATGCTTTGTGAATCTATTTCAATCACGACATGTGTGTGTGTGTCAGTTGACTGTTTAGTCCATGAAAAGCTACATCAGAATTAGGAATCTCTAAATGTG